AAATTAGTAGAAAACATGCAACTTCTTCAATACAATCTAGCATGGATATTTATTTAGAATAAAAAAAAAATTTTTTTTCATATTTTTATCTGTTTTATTATTTATTTATTTCGTTATTTATTTGTAATTTTTATTTAATTTTATAATAATAAAATTTTTAACACAAAAACTTTTTATGTCACGTGTTCTTTGTAAGACGGTCTCGATAAGTCAGCCAAACATGCTCAGCCATGCACAGCTGACTTATCGAGTTTACCTATGTACATTAAAAGAAAATCATTACCAAATTTGGTCGTGAGATTCAAAATATTGCAACACGAAAATTATTGTTGTATTCAAGACAAATTTTTTTTTAGATTAATAGACTCCCTTTTTTAAAGCTGAATTGAATGGTGTTTTTTTAAAATCCAATGTGTTGGATCACATAATATTTCAAAAATTTTAACTTTTGAGTATAGATGATCTGCACTGTATACCTATCTAATTCTGGGCAAAAATAGATTAATACTAATACTCACTGATTTATAAACAGATATCTGATTGATATTAAGGCAATAGTTGGTGAAACATTGTCACAACATTCACACAATAAAAAAAACCGTTATGACCTCTTCAAAACTATTTTTTGGATACAGAGTGTTACGAAAGTAATTGACCTGTAAATTTGTTTTCTAAGTAACCAAAATCCAAACCAACATTATGAAAAATAACATCAGAGGGTCAAGAGATTTTAAATTATTACATGTAAAAATTTTGAAGCATATTATTATGTAGGTTTTAGAGCAATGATTAAAATACTTTACATTAAAATTTTTCTTCTTTTTCAAAAACAAGTAAATTTCTTTTATTTTAATTGAATAAGTTCTAAAAAATATGGACACATATAATTTTATATTCATAATCCTCAGAATATAAGCTACGAATTGGTATGTTTTTTTTATACAATTATTATGTGTGTTTTTATGTTAGAGCGATTGTTAAAAAATTCCATGTTAAAATTTCAGGGACAATTTAAAATGGACCTTACAAAAAATTGGTGCAATTCGATTTTTTGTCAGGCCAATTTTTTTCATAACACACTATATAAGATGAATGGGCTCGTTCTCGTTAAATAAAAACTAATTTTTATTTATTGATAATTTGAATATAGTAAAAATAAATACAATAATAATAATACTAATAATAATAATAACTAATAATAATAATGATTTAAATAATTTTAATAGTATATTATTAATACATAAAATTTTGAAAAGCAACTAAACATAGTAAAAATATTAACCTTTTTAAGGTGCAGAACTATCCTAGAGTAACTTTATATGTAACATACATAGTCTGACCCACCACAGGTTTGGCCTGCTTGACAGCAAAAATTAACAGTTTCACTGGTGCAACAAATTTTACCTGGTTTACAACAACCATCACCACAAACTGGATCACTAGACTGACATTTAAGATTGCATTTATCAGCTAAACATTCTACACCAGTAGGACAACATCCTCCAGATGGACACGGAGAATAACCGTCTGCACAACCCTTCTGCCTTTTCATTTTCAGCAACAATTCCTTCCTTCCAACCTGAAAAAAGAGGAACATCTCTTTTCTGTCCCAGATTTGCCCCAGTGACAGCAAAGATGTTGAAAACTATGGTGACGAGAACAAGAAGAATTAATGTAAATTTCATGATGATTTTTGTTTGTGAGTGTTTGAATGATTGAAAATTTTTTTTAAAAAAAACTTAGATAAGGTTGTTTATTTATAATAAATCATTAAATGGCCGGCCCAAAAAGTTAACCAATTAATAATAAACTTTAACCTGTTAATTAACTGGTTAAGTATATAATAATAATAAATTAGGGAAATTAATCAAATTAAATAGTATATATATTCGTGAGGCATTATTAATGATTACTATTGTGCGATTTTATAGTTTACAAAAATGTTAGATGAAACAAAATCTTTTTTAAATAATGAACAATTCTTATGCCCGCTCATTATAAATACTACCTTTCGACAAACTATAATAATAATAGAGTTCATAACACCAATGCAAATATGTGATAATTATTATGATGATAATTATAATTTACTGTTATATCTACACTCTTTTGCATATAGTCAATAGTGTGAATGTGGCTTCATTTTACAAAGATTTTACAATCATAGTAAATTTCTAAATTAAAAAACGATTCAGGATTCTGGCTATTATTAACCAGGCCAATTAAGAGTGATTTACTATTACATTTTAATCTGTTTCCAATAAGGTTGTGGGTGAAACCTCCTTAGTAATTGCTGAAACCACAGCAAAACTATATTAAATCTTATCAAAAATCCTGTTGAAACTATGCCGAAAGGCGAAACCTCAAAATGCGAAACTCTGCCGAAACTCTAATAAACAATTAATGTGTAACCTGCCGAAACCCTGCTGATTGATTTCTGGATGAGTTTTGGCAAGCAACCTTAGTTTTCAACCTCCACTTGTAAGACATTTCACAATATGTTTGTATGTTAGTTAGTTGATTAGCCCTCTTAAACTTAATTAATTAATGATGCCTGTTTTTTTGGTTATATGCACATTAGTACTACGGTGCAAGTCACTCTAATCAAGTAACTTTAAAGTTAAATAGGGAATATTGAATGATTGTATGAAAAAGCAAAGATAGTTTTAAAAAAATTATTAGTTCCATATTCCAGAGTTGTTAGCTTTTAACCCTGAAACAGTAATTATCTTGGTGATGGATTTAGAATTAGCCAATAACTGTCAAATATAAGCATTTAATCAATATTTCCCTGTCTAACTTTAAAGTTAATCAATTTTTATTTGATGTGTTGGTGTAACCTTCCCGCACTGTACGCATAATCTTCTTTTTTTGTTTCACTGTATACACAATAGAAACCAGGCAGATATTTGTTTTTTTTTTTTAAAAAAATTAAAAGTGAACAAATATTCATTGATAATCAATATCTTGTGCAACTGAATTAAATGTAATTTTCTCATGTTTCAAATAAAATTCATCTGTTTTGTTCATTTCTAATCAAGAAAAGTCTTTGGTCACTATAATAGGAAAAAGTAATAATACAATAATGAGAGGGGAGGAATTTTCTGTTGCTCATATTTTAAAGAAAAGGGTGGTTCTAAAGAGTCAAGTTGGATGTGGAACTTGATGGAAGAAACTGAAATTCGTAAAAGATGGTGGGAAAAAAAAAAAAAAAAAAAAAAAAAAAAAAATCTAAAGGAGATATTTGTTGAGTTAATGTTTCCAATGGTGAGTCTATATTATACACTTATTGGAAATACAATGACCTCAAAAAGAACAAAACTTAAATCTGCTTTTATTTGAAAATATTGTTAGAATGTAAAATAATTAATAAATTTAAAATTTTTGTTAACAATGAATAATTAATTTAATGATCAAATGAATGTAAAAGATGGTGGGAAAAAAAAAAAAAAAAAAAAAAAAAAAAAAAAAAAAAGGAAAAAATTTTAGAACAAAACTTAAATCTGCTTTTATTTGAAAATATTGTTAGAATGTAAAATAATTAATAAATTTAAAATTTTTGTTAACAATGAATAATTAATTTAATGATCAAATGAATATCTGAATATTTTAATTATTTGCAAATGTTTATTGAATGATATAAATGTATGAATATTTAGCAGCACAATCTCTATCTATAGAAGGGCTACTGGGGCAAATTTTCAGCAGTTTGATTTCACCAATATGGAAAATATAGATATTGTATTCTGACAGCAACTATATCTTTATGAATTTTT